GTTACACTCATCAAGACCTTTCATTTGAGTACCCACATCAATTTTTCATATATTTTATATATTTATATATATGAATATATGAAAAATATATCAAAATGTATGTGGGTACTCAAATGAAAGCTCTTGATGAGTATAACATCGGGATGAGCTTATATCTTTAAAAACGTCGATATTTAAAACAGTTCAGTCTAATTTAGCAAAAGTCATTATTTAATAAAGCAAAATTTTAATTTTTTTTTAGTTCACAAGTCACGGAAGTCACATGGTGACTGCAAGGTTGCTAGTTATTATTGTTATTATTATTTTCATTTATTTATAATATTATACCACATACGATATTAAAGCTCTAAATATTTAGATATTATTTTTATTATTATTATTATGCCACTGAAAAAAAATTTGTGGAGTGGATAACTTTTGATTGATTTAATCCTTTCCTAAGATATTAATTACATCAATTAAATTTTTTATTTTATTATTGAATAAAAATAAAAAAAACAGTTGTAATTAATTAAAAAAGTACAAAAATTAATATAAATGATTTCTTTAGTTTGATGTATCAAATAATTTTTTTCTTTTTTTCAATTACATCAGTATTTTTTTTAGTTCCTAAAAGTAGCATTTGTTTTTATAAATTCTCTTGATAACAATTTATCTGTTAAAAAATTCCAAAAATTGATAGATAAAAGATAATACCAGTAATTAATTTTATTGAATCAAACATAGTAATTTTTTAATTTATTATTTTTTACTTTTTATGTTAAAAATTATCAACAAGATTTAATAAAAAAATTACCTTTATTAAAAAATTGTTCAATAATTAAAAGACAAATTTTTTTTTTAATTTAAAAGATTATTATTATTTTATAATAAAAAAAAATTATTTTCAGCACAATATATAGCATCTAAGACAAAATAAAACATCTATGCTCGATTTACTCTTATGCTCGTGGGATTTTTCTTTCTCATACGTTAAATCCATTTATCATCTATTTACTGACTTATTTTCTGTAGCTCTCATCTCAGTATATAACTATTTTTTAAACTGTTTTTTTTTTTTTTTTTTTTTATTTAGTTTGTCAGCTCGGAAATCAGAGTCCTGGATGATTTTTCACGTTGTCTCTGGATATCATTCGTTAAATTTTTTAAAACACTACCTTCAACAACTGTATAATCCCAACATATTTACGACTTCATTGAATTATCGCACCAACAACATCAATTTTTCAAAAATAAAATTTTTATTCTGCAACAAAACAAGCTGCCTTTACTCATTGGAACATTTCTTACCTCACTGTTAAATTAACATTTTATCCAACAATAATTAATATATGTAAATATTAAATTAATTTATCCGGTAAATAAAAATTTTCTTAGTGGATTCGTAAAAAGAATAAAAATAATACTAATTTAACTAATTTTTATAAAAATACCTGGCACATTTGATAACGCGTGACTCATCAACTAAGAACTAAAAATATATAAAGAGATAAAAAAAAACACCTGACGCGCATTAATACTGTATGACTGAAGACTTAAAGTTGTTTTTTTTTAAATTTACTCTACAGTAAAAAAATTTATTTTTTTTTCTTTTAAAATGAAAAAATTTTTTTGTGAAGTTATAAAAATATTTTTTATATTTTTAATATTTATATCTTATGTAAAATCTTCGAGATTATCAAAAAGATCAGTGGCGATAGGAGACGATAATTACAAATGGAGTCACGGAGTGATTATGTACAAAATAAACGAAAAAGTTTTCAACAGTTCGAGAATTTTGTCAATCTTCAGAGCGATGAGACACTGGGAAGCTTCGACTTGCGTAAAATTTGTTGAACTAGACACCAAAATTTTGCATCCAGATTATATTTTTTTTACAAAGTCGGAGGAAAAAAAGTGCGCAATAAAATACTTATAATTATAATTATAAATTTAATTTTAATTTAAAAATATTTTACTAGATGCGATTCGAATGTTGGGCAATACTATTGTGCGGAAAATCCGATTCGGTTGGCAGATTCTTGCACTCACCAAGACATCATTCGTCAATTAGGACACATTATTGGGCTGTACTTTGAACATCAGCGCCCTGATCGCGATGAGTACGTCAAAGTGCACGACATTAATATCCAATCTAGTAAGAAACAATTCTTGTCATTCTTAATGTAATTTATGTATTAGTATTAGTTTATTTATTTCTTCAATGAAAAATTTGCTTTAGACCACGAGTTTGACTTTGAAAAGCAAGATAAAAAGAACGTCCGCACTTTCGGTTTCCCGTATGACTTTAATTCAATTATGCAGGTGGGAAGGAGAGTCGGTGCGAGAAGTGAATCTGAAGACACGCTGACACCGGTGAAAAAAGTTAATGGTAAACTTCCGGTTATCGGCGACGCTAAAGGTGCAAGTGAAATTGATATTCAAGTGGTTAATCTTCTTTATAATTGTCCAAGTAAGCTTTTATTATAACTATAATAATTTATTGTTTTAATCATTAATTAATTAATCTACACGGAGAAAAATTAATTATACTACCTACTATATAAAAATAGTAACTCCTACTATCTAAAATGGTAACAAAATTAATTAGTAACAAAATAATAGGTGATATCATTGACAATTGTAATAGTTACTATTAATAATGGTAACGATTACTATCAAAAATAATAATTATAATTATTATAAATTATAACTGTTACAATCGAAGATGGTAAATGTAACCATCTCAGATCGTAAAAATTCTGAAAGAAAAAATAATAGTAGTAACTAATTAAAATAATAACAGTTATTATTACTGATTACCATCATAATAGTAGTAGTTACCATCAGGATGGTAAATACTACAATTCAGATGGTTTACTTAATTATTTAAATAATATTTACTACTATTGAATTCAGTTAATAGATTTTAACATAACTAGATAATAAATTCTACTATAAAATTTTCTCCGTGTATATTATTATGAGATTCCTATCTATATAGTCACTTATCACGATATTTCGAGAGCCATCAGAGCTAGAAACTGGAAATTTGGTAGGAATATTACTTTTTCCATGTAGAGCTCAGCTGAGAACGGATTTTAAGAAATTCCTCCCCCAAAGGGGTTTGCGGGGGCGTTAACAATAAAAAATTCCCGTTTTTAAAATATAGCTCCTAGATCTTTTCGTATGTGTGTCTGAATTGGGGCGAATTCTGATGAATTAGATGTTAGTATTTAAAATGATTTGTTTATATTTAATAAATCTGATATTCATTTATTAAATATCAATAAATGTTTTTAAATACTAAGAAATATTTGTTAAAGACTAAAAAGTGGTCTCTAATTAAATATTAACAAATATTTTTAACTATAAACAAATCCTTTTATCAGTCTATTACATAAAATATTATATAAAAATAAAACATTATTATATTTCGACTACTACTTAGAATGCGGAAGGACTATCCAAGAAACTAGTGGAGTAATAAAGTCCCCAGTTACCCCAGAAAGTTTATATTCCAATCAAGTGATCGAATGCGAATGGAGAATGCTCGCTCCTCACGGTCACCGTATCAAATTCGCAATTACATCGTTGGATATTTATGAAACCGCTGACTGTGCTACCGACTATTTGGAAATCGCAGATGGTTACTCCGACGACAAAGCACTCCGGCGTAAATATTTCAAAATTTTCAGCTTTGTAGTGTACTGTTATTTAAATTAACATTGAAATTGATAAATTTATTTCGGTAATTACAGGGAAATTCTGCAGAACTGGTAATGAAGCTAGTTTACATTCGACGGACAACCGTATGTTGGTGAAATACCGAAAAAGTGGTGAAAGCACCCACAAGGGATTCACTGCGCAATACCAACAGACTTGCAATCACACAATATTTGTTGATGGAAAAACAGTTCATTTGGAGTCTCCGAACTATCCCGAACCGTACGGAGCGAATCAACAATGCTTTTGGCGGCTAGTTGCTCCCGAAAACCATCAACTCGCTGTTAAACTCGACTTTGTTGAGCTTGAAAATGAAGAGGATAATTGTTCCTTGAAATTTGATGATGGAAGGACTGAGACAAGTGCTTGCGCTCTTGATAAGGCTGCTGAATATTTTAGTTCTGATAATTATCTTAATGTCACCTTTATTCCTAGATCTACTGGACGAAATGGATTTTCAATTTCTGTTGCCGTGAAAATTTTAGTTTGAGATTTTTTTTACTTTATTTTAAAAAATTATTTTTATTTTTTAGATTTTTGACATTCAATACTATTGAAATGTCTTATAAGTTGTCATTGCAAAATAAAAAAAAATTTTTTTTTTTCTTAAACAGAATTAAAATGTATATATTTATGAGATAAAAAATATAATACAGTTTTGTCATATAAGACTTTTGTCAAATAACAATTTTTTCAGGTCTTGATAATTATTTAAAAAAATTTTAATAATCTATATTATTAAGAAAATAAGCAAAATTTTGTGGCTAGCATATTTATATGAAAAAATGGGTTTTTATGGTTAAATTTAGTATCATTGGAAAAATCTTGACCTGGAGTTGTGCTTTTTCATGGTTTCCTATTGTTCAGTTAACAGGCCCACTCAATGAGCAATACGTCACTGTGGGCTCCCCAAATTTACAACACGCACCTGACAAGCCATCGTTCCCGCTATTTCTCACCCGCATGCGTAAACCGCCTGACTGATCACGCCACAGGTATCGAATTTTACCATTGGCTATCGATGTTGACATCAATAGAACGAATTTATTGATTGGCTATCACTCTCGTTAGACATGCGCAGTAGCCTTCTTCTCCAAGACGAGGAAGAAGACGAATTATTATTTTTATCTTTCGCTTCTCCGCCATTAAGTCTAAGGCTTCGCTTTCCCGCTATTTTATTTCGCTCATCGTTAACTAAACGCATTTCGCTATTTTTATAATTTAAATTGCTTAAATTAACCGCTAATATTTCGCTTCAGTTTGTTTCAGATAAATTGTGTTTATTTGCTTTTGTTTCACCGCTTTTTACAGTGCCGGCAATTTGCTCAACCACGTGCTGACCGGCTTCGCATTGATATCCACGCTGTGTTTTATAAATCCGCTTTTTTCTTATCAATCCGCTATTGAATATATTAAATATTGAGTGTATTTATAGTAAATAAATCTCTAGTGATATTCTTAATAATAATTTTTGTATTTTAATTGAGATAACCAGACCGAAACCTGATCCTTAGTTTTTCCGCTCTTTCAGCATTTTACACCTATTATTCTTACCAATAGTCAATTTATTATGATAAGTATTTAGACTGCATTTGAAAATACTCTTATGTATCTCTAGATACATAATTAAGAACTGACATTGCTATCTTGTCAACTGTTGACATTTTTAAAGGTATAAGCTCATTTCGATGTTACACTCATCAAGACCTTTCATTTAAGTACCCACATCAATTTTTCATATATTTATGTATATATTATATATATGTATTGAAAAATATTTAAAAAATGCATGTGGGTATTCAAATGAAAGGTCTCGATGAGTGTAACGTCGGGATGAGCTTATATCTATATATATATATTATATATATATGTAAATATGAAAATATATCAAAAGTGCATCTGGGTACTCAAATGAAAGGTCTCGATGAGTGTGACATCGGGATGAGCTTATATCTTTAAAACTATCAGTAATTAAGAAATGACCTTGTATCTTGTCAACTACTGACATTTTTAAAGATATAAGCTCATCCCGATGTTACACTCATCAAAACCTTTCATTTGAGTATCCACATCAATTTATCATATATTTATATATATTATATATATGAATATATGAAAAATATATCAAAATGCATGTGGGTACTCAAATGAAAGCTCTTGATGAGTGTAACATCGGGATGAACTTATATCTTTAAAAACGTCAATAATTAAAAAAATACAGTACAATTTAACAAAAGTCATTATTTAATAAAGCAAAATTTTATTTATTTATAGTTTACAAGTGACTGTAAGGTTACTAGTTTCAATTAAATTTTATAAAATTTCATGAAAAAAATTTTTATAAAATTAATAATTACGTAAAAAAAAAATTAAAATTATTGTGCACACAGATCATTTTACTGATTTTATAAAAATAATAATACTTTTCAGGTCAAAACAAAATTTAAATATTTCAAGAGATTATCACGGGACTTTATCAAGCACTAAAGCACAAAATTTAAAATCTTCTTGGTGAATAATAAAAAAATAAAGCTTCGAAGTTTGGTAGTTTAGTAGTTTAGTAGTGCGAGCATGCGAGAAATAAATATATACATATATATATAATGTGTAATGCCTCTCACGTGGCTGATCTTTTAAAGTGATGTTTGCATTTTTAGTTACTCCGTGTCATGAATTCCCGATGTTTGTACACTTATTCATAAATCAAACGTAACTAAGGTGTGTTGCATAGATGTATACAGAATAAAAAGAGAAGGAAGTAAGGATTGAGAGACTTGCCTTGAATTTTATCTTCATCATGAATCTTAAATTCTCCGAGCTCCGTCTTTCCACCGATTCGTCAACTTCGTTTGATTTTTTCAGTCTGGGTCCATAACCTGCAGGAGACACAGTCTGTCCTACAATGATTATGATAATAATTATAATTATAATTGTGGTGAAAACAGGAGTTTGATCGGTCGGGCTCCAAGTTCGAACCAATTGAAAGGACAGAGGCCAACAAAAGAGTGATTTTAATGGTACTTGCGGTGATAAATCGATGCCGCTGAAATGCGAATGATGCGGTTGGCGAGCTCGATTTTACAGCGCTGCTTCCTACCCCGGGCTGCTGGTTAACATTGTTATTTAATAAGCTTCATTATGCGACCCAGTATTATTCCCGTTCTATCTCTCTCGGTTAATTTTCCTTCGAGGCTCTCTCACGCGCTGCTCCTATAGAATTACTCGTATGCAGCCCATCATCCATCCTGCCTGTGGTCGACTCTAAATTTAATCCTGAGTATACTTAACCAAACTTCAGCCTCATCAGCGATGTTATTATATAAATAATTTATTTAATTTTTAAAAATTTTACTGACTATTTTTTTTCAGCGGATTTAATTCAGATTTTGATACGAAAAATATTTGAGTAAAATAAATTTTTATTAGCGAAAAAAATAATTTCTAGAAAAATTAAAAAAAAAATTATTACGCTTAATTAAATAAGATTAATTATTTTAATGCTACTGAAATTAATTTTTATAGTGTAATTTTTAATAATTTTTAACAAATAAATTTTTTTTAGGAAGAATTTATCAAAAAATGCGACTTATAAAAATTTAAAAAAAATATTGATGCAATTTTTTTTTTTAATATTAAAATTTATAATTTTATCAAACTAATAAAATTACTTTTATTCAATTTCTTAATTTTTAAATCAATAAAAAATATTTTTTTATCTTTTTCCATTACAAAAAAATAAAGAATGTTTTTTTTTAATAATAAAAATAAAATATTTGTCAGAATAATTTTAAAATCATTTACACCGCAAATTTTTTATAGTGTAAAATAAAAATTAATATTAAATATTAATAAAGTAATAATTCTAAATTTTTAAATTTTAAATTGTGTCTATAAATTTATAGAACGTAATTTTAAGAAGTTAGATTGATTACTAGAAATTATTTAATTACGCTTAATTATTTTAATGTAATTAAAATTAATTTTTATAGCGCAATTTTTAACAAATACTTTTTTTAGAAAGAATTTATCAAAAAAATACGACTTATAGAAATTAAAAAAAAAATATTGATTTTTTTTAAATATTAAAATTTTATCAAACTAAAAAAAATTATTTACATTCAAATTCAAAATTTTTAAAGCAATAAAAAATATTTTATCTATCCATTACAAAAAAAAATAAAGAATTCTATTGAATATTTTTTTTTTATAAACAAAATAAAATCTTTCTCAAGAAATAAAATAAAAATTAATATCGAATATTAATCAAGTAATATAAAAAATAATTAAAAATTTTTAAACTTTAAATTGCGTCGGTCCTAAATTAAAAAGATCCTCTTAATTTAAAAAAAAATTAAACAATATCAAATAAAAAATAATTGAACGCATACTAAATATTCAAAGCAACACCCCTGGGCAATAATAATAATTACTATTAGTAAATTTTAAATGAAAGCATAAGAGAATAATAAATAGGATAATAAAAACAAGACACCTGGGCCATGCCTCGATATAGCCACCCTAAAGCAATTCAAGTGTTGATATACACGGAAAAAAATTTATTGTTGCTGCAACAGGAGGCAGTCATGTTGCAGCAACAGGAAAAAATCCTGTTGTAGTAACAGGATTACTACTGTTGTTGCGACTTGATAGTAAAATATAGTTGGGTCAATTCATGTCAAATCGACCAATAGTTGGAATCGACCCCTTTCGATTTGGATAAATTTTGGTCAAAAGTTTTCTTTTATCATACAACGAACTTCTGCCAAAGGAAAAAAATAAAAAAATTATTTGCAAAAGATATATGCAAATTCAAAATTTCTCGATTTTTCCAGTTTTTCAATTTTGTTTTTGTTATATCTCAAATGCTATTATAGATACAGGAATGGCCTTTCGTTTGTTTGAAAGGGGACACTTGGGGCTATTGAAAAAAAAATATATTGAACAATGCCAAATTTGTTAAATTTTGAATTTTTGAAAATCGTCATAAATGACGATCTATATTAAAATTTTAGCTCAATTTTTTTTTGTATAATACCTTGTACTGATCTTAAAAGATCCTGAAATTTTTAGAACTGTGTTTTTTTTTAAATACGAATTTTTCAATTTCAAAAAAAATTTTCTTTTATTTTTCGCAACTTCTAAATAATGTAAAGTTATGCAGATATATAGTATTGTAATTTTGAGCATTAAAAATAAATGCACGACGTGGAAATATTAAATAATAAATTAATTTCAACTTTTTTTTCTATTTTTTGAACGTAATCTTAAAGTCAGGCTTAACACATAATATAATTTCTTATTTTTTTAACGCATGATATATTTTCTCCGTTTGTTCACTTCAATAAAAGTTTTTAACGTCAAATAACTCAAACAGATGTTAATTTCCAATAACAATCAGAAATAATGTGTGGTGAGAATATCAATTTTTTTAGTTCTTTTGAGTACTTGTTTACTTACAAATTTCTGCATATTAATGTTGCTCAATCTCAA